ATGATAATTCTCAAGTTTGATTCCATACTCTAGGTGTAAGACACATGTATTACATGGGTTAATTAAAAATATATATATAAATGTCTAAATATTTAAGAACTTTGGATTTCTAAGAAAATCAGAAAAATAATAAATTTTTAAAATTGGTTTTTTAAACTTTTAATTTAAATAAATAAACAAAATAAACTAATGAGCTTTAATTTCAGAATTTTGAAATAAGAAAGTAAGTCCATTAAAAAAAATTAATATTCATTTATTACTACATTTATCGTAATTATTACATTAAACTATTATGTGAAATTTATTAAAATAGAAAAACTCATAAAATGACATGTGAAAAATAAATTAAATTAAAATAACCAAAAAATGACATTTGGCAAATTGAATGAGTGTTACATGTGACAAAAAAACCTTCATTTATTAGAGGAGATTCGGCTTATTTTTCAGATTACTTCGTATGGTTTAAATGATGATTTTGTATTTGTATTTCAATATCATCATTTGTTAGATGAAAAATAATAAAAAATATTAAAAAGAAATCAATAGGTAACATAAGTCGTTAGACAATGCTTCATAGAAGACCTCCTCCGTTGTTGCATTTAGTATGAACTCGCCCATGTGCCCCGGTAATTTTAGACCCACCGGTGCTACGTGGTATTTACCAACGATGGCAGGGCCCGACAGCTGTTTTCCGTGACAGAGATAGCAGGGGAAGGGAGGCTAAAGACGGTTCAGGCAACAGCCAGACGAAGCACTTATACTCTCCAGTTCTGCAGTAATACAGTAGGAATGTTTTAGACTATTAGCTCTCTTCCATCTATAAGATTGTGTCTATGTTCATCTCCATTGAAAGAACAAACAATGGCAAGGGAACGACAAATCAATGGCGATCGATGACATTACAACCATTATGAATGGTAGTGCAAGGACGAAGTCACAGGAGAAGATCGTGTGGGAGAAAGACGAATAAGAGGTTTGTGAGGGAAAGACAAGAAAAGCACATGGGGTAGTTCTTTGGAGGTTGGACATCAGTTTTCTTTTCCCTTTGAATAATAATTTAAATAATATGTACAATTATTAAGCAAATAACTTTGAAAGTACCATTAATTGGTAATTTTGATTCAAAAACACTACCCCTTGGTTAAAAAATCCCTTTTACAACCTGTTAAATTTAGAAAATATTGTCAACATTGGTAAAAAAGACAGAAGCCAAAATTAATTGTTGTTTCCTGCAATATATATATATATATATATATATATATATATATATATATATATATATATATATATATATATATATTACAGTGTGATTAGCATTAGATTTTGAAACGTTACTTGATTATAGTATTGTCCTAAAAAAATCACTGTTATAGTTGAGTATATTTTTCGAAATATAATGTTGCAATACCAAATTTTAGTTTTTGATACCAAAACCCATCATACAAAATTTTGGATAACAAAGGACCTTTGAATCTTGAAACATAAACTCAAAAAAAGAATTTGAAATTGCCGACTTCAAACCTAGTTCAATGGTAAATTAAGAACACTAGTGTTTAGTTACAATTATGGTATTTGGGGCGTGATTGTAAAGATGGTCTGAACAAGGGTAAGAACAAACAAAACAATTGCAGCGAATAATGAACTAATATTCCATGAACTACTGAAATATGTACGCTTCAACCCTGCATCATACCAGTAACTCTTGTAGTAGGTATCCAACCATTCCCACTCTTGATAGTAATAAAAATCATTTGATGTGATATCATTGCATATGTTGTTTATCATATATACAACGCTCTCGTTCGAGCCACAATCGTTGACCAGGACCCCTGATTTAATCAACTTGGCAACATCCTCTAGAGTGTCTGCTAGCATATTTATGGCCCAGCAACATGATGTAACGTACTCAGGAACTAGAGTACACTTTTCGTATGCTATGAGTTTCATTCAAACCAACTCAGTGTAATCATCCACATACAGTTTTTGCATCCTCAGAGTAGGTTTACAACAAAACCATGGAAACCATGAAAACCTTGGTAATTCCAGTTTCATTGCCATTGCCCAATTTGCATCTTCATTAGACATAAATTTTACCCTTGCACTATCCAGTTTCATTAGGCATAATGTTAAATAACATAAAAAACAATTCATAAAATATATTAGAAACTTCTCAAACAACGGAAGTCTCAATTATAAAATCAAAGATCGATGCGAATGCGTTACAGTTACGCCAAAATCTTTCCTTGAGTGAAAATATTTAATCAATAACTGTACGCATAAAGCTTAGTGAGTTCCCCAAAATACCACATACTTCAATACACATAGTATGCATACAAACAAATGGCTCCCTTCATTCCACCATTCAAGATAGCCTACGAGTTTAAAACACTGATCTTTGGTGTGCTTTGTATTCCCACAGTGTTCACACTTCAGGTGCGACTTTTATTGTTTATGTGGTTGTGTTAATGGCCGTCGGTGCCCCTTTGATATGAATCCTCCACCATTAGAATTCCCTGCTTCTGTGATAGCTAGACCTGCCACCACACCTTGTTCTGATATAGTTTCAGAGGCTGCTTCTATGTTTTTTTGATGAGCTTTTTCTTTTCTTACTGTTGCATAGACTCCTTTTGATGAGGGAAGAGGATCAAATCGAAGTATTTCTCATTTAATTAGGTCGTACCTATGATCCAAGGAATTTTGGAACAGTTTTGTTCTGCTGTAATGATGTTATATGTTGTTATATCAACAGAACAACTCATAAGATTTAGGTCTCTTCTTTCAATTCCCCCCCCCCCCCCCCCCCCCCCCCCCCCCCCCCAATCCCTTTAAAATGATCCACATGTATTCAAGGGGTATTCGACTCTGTTTGATTTCATTGGCTTTGACATGAAGATCAAACAATTGTAGTTTATCTTTACCACTACTGTATGTAACTACAAGAGCATCCCATAATGAGTTTGTTGTAGGGAACTCAGTAAGGTAACTAGAAAGGCATGGTTCAATATTTTGTATGAGCCATGAGAAGACAACTAAGTCATTATGTTCCCATTGATCATAACTCTCATCTGTTGAATCTGGAGGGTTACTGGATAAATGATTCAATAAAGGTTTTGACTTACCCCCAATTGTCACTCGAATCATGCGAACCTATAGTGCATAATTTTGGCTATTGAGGGTGATGCTGATTTTAAGACTGTCAGATAGGTTCTATTTGTAGTTTGGATTATGGGCTTTAAACAGATTAGTGAGTATATGGGTAAGGTCATCAATGTTGATGCCTATTTTGTTGGTTGAGCTACTGATACGAATATGACGTTCTGATACCACTTATGATACATGTACGGGTATGATTCAGTGAGTAGAGTAGTATTTAGGTAAATTAAGAGAGAATAGCAACCACAAATGATATGTGAATGGAAGGAAGTAGATAGATTAGGGCTTAAGTCATCGATTCAAATCCTATCTTTTTTTCGGTATGCCGCTCCGCGAGCAAGGAGCAACAACTCAAGGCCTATTAAGTTGTATACCGGTGAAAACAATCAAGACCTATTGGATTGAGTTCGTATCAAGTCAAGAACATGTCCCAACAAAATAATTAGTGAATTATAACAATAATTCAAGTGAACAAAGGTTCTTTTCTTAAAAATTTATATATATCTCTTGCACATGCAAAAATGTGGCTTATATGATGCCTTATTACTATTCTAGTGGTTACAAGCAAACCAACCAACCACTAATCAAAGCTAGTAAATGAAACTCAGAGTAACTCCTCAAAACAACAAATAAAATCTAAAATACTTTAAAGAACAAAAAGTAACGACTAGAATGCTTTAAATATTAGAGAAAAACGTCCATACTCCTTAAAGGTATAACCCTGATCCACCAAGGTCACCAAAAACAGCTAGAAAGAGTTATGAAGCTAAAATATAACAGTTGGAACACTGATGAAGTCTTAAAAACATAGTCCTAAATCATCAAAGTCGCCATGCAAAGGAATTTAGACATGACATCACTTGCCACCACACCATCCCACTCGGCTAGCATGAATTCATTCTCATTTTTTTAGAATTTGTCACTTCCATACATGTATCAGCTACCGTCGTCAGACATGGCAACATAAATCATAGAGTAGATGAAAATTTGTGTCCTAAAACCATATACACAACTTCATCACTTTTTTCTAAAAGTATGGGAACCAAGAGCTTTTCAGAAGTTTAGGGTGAAAATGGAACTTTTCCTGAAGTAAAAAAGGGCTAACCTGAATTTCTTTGAAAAAACAGGATAAAAAATGCAACTTTTATGAAAAAAGAGTGGCTAAATTGAACTTTCTAGAATAGTAGGGAGTAAAGTGCAATGTTTCTACCAACCAGGGACCTTTTTGTAACTTTTTAGAAGTTCAGGGACCAAATTGGTAACTTTCGAAACAACAGAGACCGAAATTGAGTTTTTCAGACAGAGAGGGACCCGTTTGCACTTTTCTAGTGCTTCAGGGGCCAAACTGCAAAATTTTGACGCGGACCTACTTCGTCTTCTCCGGTCTTCTTCTCCGGCGAACTGGTTTTTTTGGTGGCTATTTCGGTGAACATTTGACCGGAGATTTGGTGGTCCTCCGGTGGTCAAAATTAAAATTATGAAAAATATATTTTTGGAATCTTTAAAACCAGACATTTCCAATGGTGTGCGCAAAAATCTATTTTTAGGCAAAAAAAAATAGACCAAAAAACAGAGAACGGGCACCTGGAGCTTAATGATACCACATTGTAATTTACACAAGAAATTGAATCAACGAAATATATAGAAGTTATTTTTTGTATATTGATCTTTCTTGATGATTTACATGATAGTTAACACCTCTATATATACTAGAGGGTATTACACCTTCCTACAATTTCTGTCATGTGCAAGTAAGACAATGCATGATCAACTATATATGTCAAGCTATGACTAAGTTATATCAAGCTATATCAAGCTATGTCATGCAATAAATTTAATATCCATTTCTAACACTTGATTGTAAAGATGGTCTGAATAAGGGTAAGAACAAACAAAATGATTGCAGCGAATACTGAAATAATATTCCATGGACTACTGAAATATGTACGCTTCAACCCTGCAGCAGCATTGGGCCAGTAACTCTTGTAGTAGGTATCCAGCCGTTCCCACTGATGATAGTAATAAAAAACATTTGATGTGATATCATTGCATATGTTGTTTAAAATATATACAGCGCTCTCGTTTGAGCCATAATCGTTGACCAGGACCCCTGATTTTATCAACTTGACAACATCCTCTGGAGTGTCTACTAACATATCTATGGCCCAGCAATATGATGTAACGTACTCAGGAACTAGGGTACACTGCTCGTATAGTATGAGGTTCCTTAAAAGCAACTCAGTGTAATCATATCCACATATAGTTTTGGCATCCTCAGAGTAGGTTTACACCAAAACCATGGGAAACATGAGAACCTTGGTAACTCCAGTTTCATGGCCATTGCCCAATTTGCATCTTCATTAGGCATAAATTTCACCCCTGCCCTATCCAGTTCCATGGCCGAGTGTCTTTTTTGTTCCATTGGAACTTGAGAATATGGTAACGGGTGATGGACAGGCTGTAAGCAATAGTGCAGAATGCCAAGGATATGATCATGAGTCCTATCTAGGTTGATATTGTTTGTTACTTCATATTCCATAAAGAAAGAGTACCTTTCGAGAAGTATTTTGAGATGGTCAGTGAGAGAGGTATTTGGTTTAAAATGAGGAAAAGTAGACTCAAAGATGTCTTTAAGAACAAAAAATGGGATTTGGTTTTCTATCAACACCATATCATGAACTATTAATGGGATAATCGACCAGTTTTCCTGAAATCCGCCAGCTTCTACTGAAATAAGATGAATGAAATAAAGGATAAAACAAGCATCTATTACCATCATTGTAGCAAGTTCCTCATCGTTGTAGGTCGTTTCTTCATAGCATGACTTGATTTCTTCAATTTTCAGACTCACCTTTCGCACACATTCTTGTAACGTTTGCTCTGGGTTGGAACCCGAACGATCCAGTAAATGATGTAAATAAGTCATTTTTTGAACTTCAAATTTTTGCAAATCTTTATCTTTTCTGTGTAGGGGTCCAATAGAGACTAGCGTAGGGTTAAAAGATGTTGGGCTGAGATCTCGGTAAACTCTTGGAACAATGAAAATTGATGGTGGACGTCGATTGCCATGATTCCGTCCTTTTTCTTTACAATTAAGTAGAAATTTGACAGAACGCAAAATGCTATCACCTCCTCCAACCTCCACATCGCTTGTCGCCATTCAGAAGACACTTGCTTATTTTAATCTAGAACGAGTGAGTTAGAAAAAAAATTATATAATAATAGATCGAGTACATGTGATTAAAAAAAACAAGAACATACCTAAAAGTAACGGACTTGTCCGGATGATATTTCACTTGCGAGTTTTGTTAAAGAAAACCAATTACAAAATTTATAAATAAAAGTTGATACCCTGATTAAAGCATCAAGCAAGTCCATAGCTAGTAAAGATGGTGGATTAAAATATAGGATAAGAATAAAAAGCAATGCTTACTTTTAGAAACTTTTCAAATGATGCCAACTTATTAATTACCCTATCTTTGCATCTAAACATAATAAAAAAATGTATACAAGTTATGGTGGTATCAGATGAATAAGCAACATAACTTTATTTTTACATTAATAGTAAAATGAGTATGTTGTCCAATAAAAAATAAAATTTAATATATCGGAAAAATGAAAGTCAGCCAATCAAGGAAGCTTCTTATACGGTATATTATAAAGTAAATATTTGTAACGTGCTAAATTTCAATCATAATTTCATTTTAAAATAAGAGTAAAACATCAAATCTTTTTTTCCGTAAAAGATGAAGGTGCAAATTGTTAAATAACATAATGTTAAATAACATAAAACCATTTCATAAAATATACTAGAAACTTCTCAAATAGCGGAAGTCTCAATTATAAAATCAAAGATCGATGCGCATGTGTTTTGGTCACGCCAAACTCTTCCCTCGAGTAGTAAAAATACGTGAAAACATTTAATCAACAATTGTAAACATAACGTTTAGTGAGTTCGTCAAAATACATATATTTCAATACACATAGAATGCATACAAACAAATGGCTCGCTACCTTTGTTCGTGTATGATATGAGTGAACATGAAGACACTCATGTTGAAGGAGTACACATGTGTTTGTTTGAGTAAGAATCGTCAGCCTCATTTCACTCGACAAACAAATTTCCAACTCATCCTTCTTCGAACAAACGAAAAAGAGTCAATTGTCTTCGGTGTCCAACGCCTAATTTCTTGCCTTCAATGATAAAGTTGATAAAATTTGTGTCGGTGTCTCCACTCTTCAACCAGCCAAATAAGAGTTTATTATAAATGCAAACTATAATAAGTCTCTTGCGCATCCAAAATGGAATTAAAGGATTCTCTTGCGCATCCAAAATGGAATTAAAGAGTTGGACGGATCAAAGAAATCAGATCATCTGGAAATGATCAGGAGAGGCAAAGAAATGGTTAGGGAAATGCAAGCCATCTAGAAAAATTGGATGAGAATACAAAGACATTTGTGAAGGAGATAGAAAACTTAATTTATGAATGCCACAATGCTTTTGAAGTAGCATTTAAAGAGTTGTAACTGAAGCTGCATAGTTGATGAGTATCCCAACTGAAACCCAACAAAAGAGACTTCGCATCTCTAAAGATGTTCTTGTTTGTCTGACCAATCTAGAGCTTCTATCAACCAACCAAGTACATTCCAACATATAAGTTTCATTCATCAGAGTACTTGAAATCCTCCAATCCATCAAGGACAATTGATTTGAGGAGAAGGCTGGGCATTCTTTCTTAAAAAAGGGTAAGGCTATAGAAGAAAATGATGAAGAGATTCAAGAATTGAAGTGCGATGCCACAACTATCTACACAACAAAAATTTCATCCTACATCCAAGTTTCATCGATGCATGAATGCTTAATTGGATGGGGTCCTAAATGCTATTAGTCGATCCAACTGGAAAATTGATGAGTGAAATATGTCGTGTGAGAAAGATTTGAATGGTTGTTGGGAGTTAGAAAATTTTGGAAGTTGTTACTAGATTTTTTAATCTATTAAAGTGAGAAGGTTGTTAGAAATGGGTGTCAAATATCATAACTAATTGGTGTAACTTTGTGAAATATAGCAAAATCTTTTTTGGGTTGCCCTCAAGAGCAATAATAGCTAGAAATAGTTTTAGGAGATTGAGAAAATCATTTATTAATTTATTACATGTAAATAAATTAAGGGTTAATCTCATAAAAGATCTTATATTTTATGTTTTTTCGGATTAAATCTCAACTTTATTTTTTTCATGAAAAAGTCCTTGCATTTTTGTTCAATTTTTTCCGATCTCGCCCTTTTAGTCATTTTTCTAAAAGAAGTTGTAAAAGGTGATGGTTATTCCAAGAAAAACTAAAAAGTTGAGGAATTATTTGGAAACATTTAGAAGTTTGAGGGTTTTTTTCATAAAAAAAAGACAAAATTAAGGGCGACTATGGTGGTGGCGGTGGTGGTAGTGGTCGCAGAGGTGGATTTGATGTATTAATGATTTGTATGCTATATAGTAAAAAAAAAGTTATACATTGCGTTAAAAATGTAATGTATTGTTAACATAATTCCTAATAAATTATCTAATAAATAAAAAATAACACAAATGTATTAGATACTAAAATAAGTTTCCTGATTTATGAGTCTATGATATATGGCATATATGACTAAATAATCAGTCATAGATACTAAATTTCAGTCGGTTATAAGTGTTGATTTGAATGTCAAAAAGTATATGTCTATTAGGGACTAAAATTTAGTCTTGAAAAAGTTTCCCATCAAAAGGACAAATTGTTGTAGTAGTATCAATGACTAAAATTCAGTCCCTAATAAGTTCCATACACAATTAAAACTAACACAAGTCTACCAAGGACTGAAATTCAGCCTCACATAACTTACCCACCAAAGTCAAAGTTGGCGCTAAACTATTCGAGACTGAAATTTCGTCCCCAATATGTTTCCGACAAAACCTAAACCGACGGAAACAACTTACGGACTGAATTTTAGTCTCAAATAAGTTTTATCAGTCTCTAATGTTTCACATGTTAAAATCAGACCTAGATAGTATTTAAGACTAATTAATCAGTCCCAGATACATTGTATCCAAGACCGATTAATCAGTCTCTGATAATTTAGTCACAGAAGCCCTCTTTTCTTGTAGTGCTTTTAGATTGATTCATAATCCATAACTCTGTCTGCAATGATATCTTAAAAGAAACAAAAGAATAATCGATCACGTATCTAAAGGCTAATTCTGGATGAGATCAAAGTTCGACGGTTGCTGTAAAAGGCATGCTTTGTTGGTTATTCGAAGTCTATCTGACCAGTTGTAGTTGACGAATTGTCCAAGTGGGAGACTATTGGAAACGGGTGTCCAATATCATAACTATTTGGTGTAACTTTGAGAATAATAACAAAGTTCTTTTTGGGTTGCCCTCAAGAGCAAGAATAACTAGAAATAATTTTAGGAGATTGAGAAAATAGTTTTTTAATTGAAATTAATTTGGGATTAATTGGAATTAACCTAGAATTGTTGCGACTAAATGTTAATTGTTCAATAGTTTAACAAAGAGAACCCTCTGGAACCCCATAGGTGGTGGAAGGTTTTGGATACTCCTTGGAGGGTTCAACAATTAATCAAAGTAATGAAAATTGTTGGTGCATGAAGTGACCCTCTACGGTTAATGAAAATTGGATTAAGTTTTTGTTGTTAAGTGTTGATGCTCCTAACCACAGTGAGAAGAAAAGATTGAATTTAACTGTACACATTTAGTTCTCATTACCGACTATTCCAGGTAAACCGGAAAAATGATTTATAGGGTAATATGTTTCTCACTTTGTACACATCTAGTTTTTAATATTTTTTTCTTGCACATTTAGTCATTATTATTTTTTTGTTGCAAAGTAAGTCATTTTTTTGTACACATTGAATACTTATTACCAGTTTCTTTAGGTTTTTTCTCACAAATTCTTACGTGAAACAAATATTAATGAGGTGTCCGGGGCTGTTCATGCTTATGGCCACAACGACCTCAGTTGCTTGATTGCTTAGGTCTTCTGCTTCACTTAGGTCTTGTGATTTGAAAGTCGTAAGTTCTTCATACAATCTCAGATTTTAGCGATCTTTATATCCACACATTCATATTTAAGTCTACTACAAATTTCGTTTAGATTACTCATGTTAAAAAGTAATGTATTATTACTTACGATCTTTATATACATATGTTCTTTATTAATGTATGTATGGATGTTTATTGATAAAATCGTAAGTAAAAATTTATTACTTTTTAATGAGAGTTATCTAAACTAAAATTGAAGACTCAAATACGAACGCGTGCATATAAGGATCGTTAAAATCTGAAATCGTATGAAAAACTTACGACGTTCAGAACACAGGACCTAGGCACCAAGCAATCGAGGTCGCAGTGACCATAAGCATAAACAACCTTTAACACCTCATTAATGATTGTCCTATGTAGGATAAGGATGAAAGTGGGCCCAAACCCGGACCGGATGGACCCAAAACTAATTAACGGGATTTTGTAGAACCGGGAACCCGACCGTTATATAGGAATCGGTTTCGGTTCGATTCCGGGTAAAGTGGGTCTAGAACCGAAAAACCCGAAAACATCAAAGTAAGTAGAACAAAACCGGGTAAAGTGAGTTTAGAACCAGAAAACTAGAAAACCAATTTTTTTTGGTAATTACTTACTACTTAGTGGTTAAACTTTGAAAATTTTCATATTGATATCACGACTTTAGGGAACTGTAACTCATTTAATATGAAACCAAAATTGAGAAAAGTATAGTTTAATATCATATACAAACTTTAATATACAATATGGAAAAACCTCATGTCAATCCGAGTTTAAACAAATGAGATATGCATGTTTTAACATTTTCACAGAATACAAAGTACAAAAACAAATAACTAAAAAGTTGATACTTTTCAGCTTTGATATCCCGACGTCGGAGGACTGTAATTCATTGAATATTCAACCAAAAATGACAACATTATAGTCTAAACTCATGTACAAACTCTAAACTACAAGTTAGAAAGAATTGCATGTCAATCCGACTTTAAACGAATTAGATATGCATGTTTTTAAATTGTCACATAATACAAAAAAGCTAAAAACTTCCATCTTTGATATCTCGACTTTGGGGATTGTAAGTCAATGAATATAAA